TCGAGGAACAGTTTAGGTGCGCTTCATTAGGTGTGCCTCAAAATAAGTGCACCTCAACTATTGAACCTACAGCTACTGACGGAAAAGTGATATTCATTTGTTCAGATCACCAACAAGTTTACATTTTAAGGCAAGAGTCTGATAACGAGAGACCTGACTGCACAACAGTGCATGTCAAATTTTTACAACAGCAAAAATAATCTCAATGTTATTTATGTATTTAAAAGCTTCGTATTTCGTATTCCGACTCTATTCTGAATAAGTACATGGTAACACATGTAACCAGAATAGCGTTCATTAATACTCTACGAACATAGCAATATACAAAGAGTACACGGGTCCAAGTGGCCACGTACCTTCGTCACGGTGGCACCTGTCGCTCTGCCCCACTCTACCCCAATTTACTCCGCTCATATATTAAATAATAATTAGTCGGTGCGACCCTTAACTTCTCATGTCGTGCTCGTGACGTCATAGGGGTAAAACTATATGAAGACTAGACTTGGAAGCAAAGTCCTATGTTTTATACAAACCTTTTATTCAGTACTTATAAGCCCTTTCTAGAGCGCTTATAAGTCCAAAATGGCTTGCCCTATCACCACTTTGGGACAACATGATGGTCAAGCAACTTTAATTCAATAACTCTAGCGGTCTTTAAAATTGATTTTTGATTAATGGCAACTATGTAATTTTACTTTTAATGCTCCTTCAGGCTCCGCATAACAACAATAAAATCCTGGCACATGAACCATAATGTTAGTCTAGTCCTTATTATAATTTATGTAAAAATATATTCGCGCACTAAAGAAGACAAAATGGAAGAACACACTTGTACCCAAAATAAGATTAACGAATTACCCCCATTTATCCCCAACATACAGCAAAATGTCGTTCCCAGAAAATACTTCATGTATAAATAAACAGTAAACAAAATTGAGTTAGAAACCAAGGTTCTAACATGTTCGAGGGACATGTAATATTAAAAGAAAATTGGCTGCGTCACTCGGATGCGGGTAGTTGGAGACGCTCCTGTGCGATATTCTATTACGATGTTATGACGTTAAAACCTATAGGAAATGAGTTTAATCTTACAGTAAGGCCCAGAACAGACGGTGAAACGCAACTGCAACGAAACTGCAACTTTCTGATGAATGAAATTGAAACTGAAAGTTTCAAACTGGTCGCGTCATGTGTGGTCTCTCAATGGACGCTATGGCAGAAACTTAGATGTAACTCAAAAGTAACTAGCAGTTGCAGTTTCGTTGCAGTTGCGTTTCACCGTCTGTTCTGGGCCTAAAGGAAAATACTTTAATTACATTATTAAAATGGCAACTAAAACAGGAAGACTTGGTTAATTAAGTTGGCTGTTGACACAATGATATTTACAGACATCCATAAAGATGCCTACTTTATTTTACCCCTGAAAATTAACGGTCTAGCGTTTAACTCAATCAGTGCCTGAGATATAGGAACGGCACGTGAGGGGTGACATTGACATATTATAACGTGACAGAGCATAATAATATAAATCTGAAGGAGATCTGAACTCTCGCTAACTTTTGGCGTTACAAAAACAACTCTACCGTGCCGCTGCTCTCACCTCAGGCAATCAACTATTAAATGTTTGCTTCGAAACGAATAAATAATTTAGTTCCTTTTCTTGGCAAACAGAAGACATCCGTTTTGACAGGTCATCAAAAGTATACTAATAATAAAGAAAAGATAAAAAGATAGAAGAAGCTATTGCCTTTATTAGAGTGCTTGTCCGCGTTAACGTCACGGAGCTATCGTAGCGTTAAAATTATATTGGGACGTGTAAAAGATCCTTTGAAAAGCCTAATTGCAAAAAAATTACTGTTTTGTACTTTTTTTTACTTTGCGCAAGGGAAGACCCGACTTTTATTAGATATTATAATCTGTTCCATCCCATGTCTTAAATGGTGAAACATTTTTTAAATCCAATTAACTATAAATTGAGTTTGTAATTTGAGACGGTAATTTTACATTTCATCACTAATTATGAGAATTGATTGTTTTCAGTTTTATTGCCAATTATTAAATCGGACAATAAATCCGCGTTTAAATAAAAAAGTTGAGACATTTGCTCCATGCTTTTTTTAAGTGTAAAAGAGCTTTAATAAGCTTAATTGCAAAAAATAATTGATTTCATATTATTTTTTACTTTTATGTGGATTATAGATTAATATTAACTTTAGCTTTCCGATAATATACGCGCATGAACAGCATTCATTAGTAACGCAGAAAATAATTTGAGGATATGCATCGATATAACTTTACAACTTCAAAAGTCTCTACTTCTTTTTTCAAAACTTCTTACAGCCTGTTAACTGAAGCTTCAAACTTTTGACCGCCATTTTGATAACCGCTCCAAATGTGTGTCCTTTATGTTCCGGGATAACATCAATTTTCCCAAAGGATTTAGCAATTTGTCAAAAATCCACTCTCAGAAAATCCGTGGTTTAATCTGACAGTTACCATTTATTTGACCTACCTCCGGGCCTAATCCGCAAGGTCAGTGAGCTGACTTTGAGAATGGTTTTTATAAGGGCAGCGCTGTAATAGACGCTGACCTGCGTCACGGTAATAATATNACTCTCAGAAAATCCGTGGTTTAATCTGACAGTTACCATTTATTTGACCTACCTCCGGGCCTAATCCGCAAGGTCAGTGAGCTGACTTTGAGAATGGTTTTTATAAGGGCAGCGCTGTAATAGACGCTGACCTGCGTAGTTTAACGTGCTCCACTTCGAAATTAGGTTACATAACAACTGGTGTGGCCAAAAACAAGATGGAGCCACCGTTAGTATGAAAGTAAATGATTCCCTTCACACCGCGGTTAGGAGTCGAAACCCCTGGAGTGGACTGTAGGTTTGGTTTTGCGGTTTGTACTATTTTGCTTTGAATGACAATTGATCTCCATAAAATAATGAGAAATAAAAGTGAACGTGGGCCAGCAAAACACATGGGAAGGATGGAAATTTGAAAGGTAAAGACTCACGAGAGATACTTGTAGGCAGGATCCTTGGTACGATGAGCTGGGTTTTCCGGGCGCTGGCATCCAGGTGGTATCGTCTACGTGGACGTCTTCTTCGATGATATTTCACACACCCAATGTACTGCACCATATGTGGTCCACGAAATACACTCGCGGGAGATCTCCAAAATGCGATTAACACATTAATATAAACGATAAATAAATTCAGTCCAGAGAGCCCGGATAGCGAACATGGTTTGTTTGCCTTGCTAAAGATGTACCTACTGTAACACAGGGACTGGTTAATATTACGTTTGAGTATATAACACCTGAAATAATTGAGAATAGTAATGTATGAACCCATAAATTGAGAAAAAAATGCATGAATTTTATTCATTGAGCTCAAGTTAATTACCACTCTGGCTGGAAAGAAAAAAGTTGCACTTCATTAAGAATTAAAATAAGTAAATTAACAAAAGACGAGTGATGATTTCGAATCAACGATTGCGAAAAGAATTATATTTTTAAAATTTTGACAATTGTGTTTTGCATCTTATGCGGACGTTTTCTAATTTAAGAAGAAATTAATGCACATTAGTGTTGTTCCAATGTTTTGGGTGGAGTGTCCCGCCCCGCACTTCAAACACAATGTGAGACAAACTATTGTATGGCATGCTTAGAATTCCCTATTTTTAACCAACGAGTGTCATATCTGGTAGTATAATGACGCGTTTGAGTTTACTGTATTACTTAAAAGGTTACGAGCCCAATAAGCCCAAATTGTTTACTCCTCTAAGTGTCCACCAAGGGCATGAATGTGTAATCGTTCGTAAGTGAGTTACCAAGTACTGGGACGACAATGATATCATCAAATAACAGTGTTTGATTGTGGCTGTAGGGTACACAATTATGAATGTTTATGATGAATAATAAATGATCATGAATATAAAATCTATGCTATTATTGATGTAAAATAGTGTTATTTGTCATAATTTATGATAATGCCTCAAATTGCAAGTAATAAATAAATAATAATTATTACAGAAAATCCTTCTGAAAAGGTAACCTTAGTTTTATTTTATCGCACTTTTAAAAATGTCCCATTTTTGCTGCAGCTAAACCTGTAATTCTAAATTTGAATTTATGTTCTTAAAATAAAAAAGGCCAAGTGACACTGTAAAAAAGAAAAATCCTTTGTCATTTTCCCAATAGAAAACAGTTTACCGGCCAGTGTTTAATTGTTTTATTCTTTTTCAGGTCCACTATTTTTTTTTTTTTTTTTTTCATATAAATTTTACGGCTTTGGATAAATATCCATACGGCCAAATCTTTCTTGTAATGCACTGTGTTTGGTAAAACATCTCAGTGTTTGGTTATATGTTCTTCTGTGCGTCTATTTATTCTAAGTCTTCATTGTGGTCTTCATAGTTCTATTTTGNTGGCTGTATATGATGAATAATAAATGATCATGAATATAAAATCTATGCTATTATTGATGTAAAATAGTGTTATTTATCATAATTTATGATAATGCCTCAAATTGCAAGTAATAAATAAATAATAATTATTACAGAAAATCCTTCTGAAAAGGTAACCTTAGTTTTATTTTATCGCACTTTTAAAAATGTCCCATTTTTGCTGCAGCTAAACCTATAATTCTAAATTGAGTTATAAGTGGAGTAACTAACACGACTTTCTTTTATATATATAGATTCTCTCATATTTATGTATACTTATACATATTATATTCATATTCATTTATAAGGTGCTCAATAGCACAAAATAGCTCAATAGCACAAAATTGCACAATAGCAGAAAATAATGTACCTACTAATTTTCTTTTCTCTTTTCTTTATTTGTTATGTTGTGAGTTGTAACGTTCGCTGTGGGCCACGTGCCCCTCTCTCATGGTGTCTGCAGAATACCAGTGGCCGTAACGTGCTCCCGAGTACGTTTACCGGCGTACAGTTTACCGGCCATTATCTAATTGTTTTTTCTTTTTCAGGTCCACTATGCGGCGGCCAGTGCTGCGGGCGAGGGCAGGAGATCCACCTACGAAACTCGCTGAGGAGAGTGGCGGAGCGGCGGCTGGCCGCTACCACGAAGCCCATCAAAGAACTTCTGCTGTCTACGAGGCGGACGTTGCAGGGTAAGATCCCCTTAGTTTTTTTACAAGTCATCAAGTCCCAAATTAAACAAAGCTTGTCGATTACCATTACCAGCCATGTTACTTATAGGTAAATCATACTTTCTAAATACAATAATATCACAAATGGGTAAAGTTTGTGTTTGTTGTGTGTCTCTAAAACTATTTATTGAAAGGGTTTTGAAAATTATTTCGCTGGTAGAAACCTAAGTAGGTACCTAACATTATTCCTGAGTGTCGGGTGGTTTTGGGCCCGTTTTCTGAATTGAAAACTACAGCTGAAGCGAGATCACCTCTACTCAAGGATTTTAATACGAAAAGTTCATACTTGATTAGAAAATGAGCTCAAGTCAAAAATTTTTACTCAGAAACCGGGCCATAAACTCTATCTGTGATAGATCGAAAATTAAAAGTTTAGGAATGTAAATTATTGAAATGTAAATCACTTAGATATAAATGAGAAACTTCTCCCTTAGCACTAACTAACACCGTACAGATACGTTGAAAGCTTCGTAATCATTTCCTTAGTGCGCGCGCGTCGTTTTGGCTCTCGCGCGGCAGTAAACGCACGCGCAGACTGCGGCGATAAATACGCTGCACGTTGCACTTTACAACCGCGGTTATTACGTGTACAGCATACGGCCAGGCTCAGTAACCCTTATCTTTATGAGGAACAAGGCCTAGAATGCGTTTTCATTTCCTTGACTGTACCTACGAGTACGTACCATGCACTCTATCGCCTTATTTTAAGACCCATGTCAAATGAAATTGCAAATTAACTTCCTCTATTTAAAAATTGAAACTCTAACCAACTTTATTAATATCACTAATCCAACATACGAATTAAATTGAAAATTCTCTCACACGAACAAAGTTTTATGGCGAACCGTAAAACGGCTGGCTTTGTTCCCGACAGCTAGTTGGAGATAAAACCGCCACTACCTACTTAATCCATACCCTGATACCTACGTGAATACCTTAAGTATTTAATAAAGGGTACGCCCCGCAAATATTATATCTGTCACAGAAAAACAACCCTTGTAAAGCCGTATCTTGATATTCCCTGTAACGACGTCGTATATGATACCGTCACTGGATAATAGCGACCGCCATTACTTTTTATGAAACATAAAACCGCCGCCTAAGCATAATTAATTTAATTTAAAATACCAGTAGCTTATTATGTTTTTTGTGAGTGCGCAATTATCCGATTACAAATTGTATTTGAGTGAGGCGTATTTACATTTTTAATTTACTGCGACGTGCAAGAAAAACGGGCAGAACTATTTTAATGGCTTGTGTTTTTCCTACGGCTAGTCTCCGTACAAAGTATAAATTATATGGTAAGCTATTGATGGAAATGTAACCTATGGCAGTAAGAAAATGTAGAAAAACTTTAGTTTATATTATAAGATGCAGTGTTTTTGCTATACTGTGTATTAGTTTGGCAAACAGTAACCAATAAGCACAGACCAATGCAGCAGCAGTCCCTAATTTGATACCATTGATCATCAAAATGAAAGAAAAATGTTACCCAACTAACAGAACGATCACTTGTATTCGATTGTCAATAGCATCCAAAGCCTAAAGCTCCTACTCGTGTACCTATCGACCGAAATAGGGAGAACTGTGTCAAATCCCCCGCCAAGAGCGCGAATCTCGCTTAGGAACAGCGAGGGTTGCCCAGATATAATGGCCAGACCACAAGACTAGCTTTAAAGCAACATACCTAGCCAAAAGATCCCTCGTAAAACGTGTTGAATAAACACTTGCGCTTCAAAATTCACAGCCTACTTTGCTGAAAAGGCCCGGGATAATGTTTAAACTTCATTGTTAGAATAAAATGTGATTACTTGGATTCCATACATGTTATGAATTACCTAATTCGTATTTATTTTCCGTTTTAGTTTTTATTTCGTAATGACTAAGTTACGTGTTTTTCAGTTAGGTAGTGTGTATAAAGCAACGTCTACACATCTTATCTAGATATATTAAGTAGGTGTGGTTTACCAACAAAACAAGACTTGATCGCACCACCACCTCTCGCTTTTAGCTCAATCCATGAATTTTCTACTACTCAAACAGTTAAATAAAACAAAATTGTAAACGTCCCGATTATTTGTAAGTATAGAACATCTAAATATACGAATGAATATTAGGGGAATGTCAGACATCAAAATCCAAAACAGAAGATGAAAGCTATCTATTTGATTTGACTCGTGGTACTTATTCTCTGACAAATCGACCTTTATCAGATAAATGTAGCGAAATAGGCTCGTCAATTGTATTCATTACCGTGACCTAATGCGAATGCCTTTTCGGGATTTAATTTTTATTTAAATCGGTTGAAAAGGATTTGATTTTATTACATTCTTTTGTGGCCAATGGCCTGGATCGCGTTGCTTATTGGCACATTATCAAATAAGAACATTCTGTACGAGTACGTAGTTGCTAGCTAAATAAAAAAATATTCTGTAGGTAGATGTGTAGATATAAAAACGTTTAATGTACCATCTATTCCCACCTCTCGTTCCCACCACTGCAACTCCTGTGTAGCCAGGAGCTACAGCTTAATGTACCATCTGATTAAATTACTTTACGGTGGTGACTTGAGGACCTACTGCTTAAATACGTGTATTACTGTATTATTATTTTGTATGTGTATTTCTGTCTACATCTTTTAGTAAGTAACAGTCATCTAAATCCTACTTTTTCCAAAAGTTTCCTATTTGCTAGGTAAGAAATCCGTTCAATGCCCTCAATTACTAAAAGTTTTTGTAGAGTCGTCAACACCCTAAATCGTCCAATTTGTCGGCGCGCGCCGACTTGTTTGGTAAACAACCCTTGTTCAATGGCTTAACCAGCTCTGGGCACATATTACTAACAACATGATATTATTACATTGAACGTATGTATCTTATAAAGACATACAAGAATTGCCCAAACAATTCATAACTCTAAAGCCTTCTGAATAGTTTCGTTTGGGCAAGCTTGCTCTATTGTGAATCGTGTTTGCTCGTGACTACATCAGGGGTGGGCATGGATCGCCCGCGGGCCATCTACAGCCTGAAAAGGGCTTCAATCCTGCTAGGTACTTGAGTTAGTATTACTCAAAAGTTTACTTATGTTTTTAACCATAACAGGCTTTGGCTGTGGCTAAAGGTAGAAGCGAGATTCTCCAGGAATCCTCATCCGTAGGAACTGGCTATATTGCCTTCTTATACATTGTTGTTATGGCCTGTCGCCATTTAGGTTGTCGCCGCACTTGTTATAATAAGGTTTTATCATGGAACTAAACACATCCATAATAAACCTTTGTTTTATGGTATTCGTTATGACAAATAAACTGAATTTATTCGTAACATCTTGTGGTCCGTGAGTCAAATTTCCACTACTAATCAGCCCATGTCCTAACGCGAATAATCCTTTGAAAATTCGACACCATTGTCGACCCGATTTGTCCGTCTAGGTCAGGGTTTCTCAAAGTGGGGTACGCGAACTCCTAGAATTCGCCATTCGACGGCAGGGGGTTCGCGACAAGATTTACGTAATTAAAATTGTCCAAAATTCTAAAATTGACTCCATTCGCGACAACTAACAATCACAAGCACACATCACATGAATATTACAAAGACAATTATTTGATACCTTTTATTTTCTTTGAAGAGGGAGGGAAAAGTTCGCTGTCACCTTTAACAGGGGTTCGTGGAGCCGAAAGTTTGAGAAACCCTGGTAGGTAAACAACTTAGCCTCGTACTTTGTATCCATGGGGTACTCCAGACCCCTATTTATTGTTCCAAGTGCGATCACGTTTGTCTACCACTGATCTCTCGCAGCTGGCAGACAAATACCTATCATATCGATGTGCACGCTCGAGCGATGGTGGCAAGATCAATCAGTGTTACTCGTGTTTGTGTTGATACATTGATGTATTGATTTTACGTGTTGCGAGTTTGTTTATTGATGTTGGTAATTATGTACACTGGCTAATTTTAGATTTCATTTGATGATTTTAGACGCAAACATAATCAATGACAAATGTACGCCTACTCTTAGGTAGGTACGAGTAAATATATCCAGACATAAATATACACCGCCAACGCCACTAGCGAAAATCCTATACCAGTTTTGGTGCTTGAATCTATGAGAACAAGGGTTCTTGAAACTACTTTTTACATTATCCTCATACTTAATCAATTACTGTAAATGCCAGCGGAAGCTACACTACTTCAGCTTACATCTTAACTAACAGTTAAAGTTGCTATTACCTTAGATAGTGGTTACCCAACCTAACCAACCTTTACCAAACTGCTTTAGCCGCGTCAAGGATAAGTGACACGACACGAGAGTTAAAACTGGAATCAAGCTCTTCAAAATATTATGTAGATTCTGTAAGGTCGACATCGAAAACGTTTTAATATACCGACTTTATCCATCTCTGTCGCTTGACTAACGTCTCTACGTGGGAAAGTGTCTAATATATTGCCTAGTAGTAAATACGCTACAAGAGCGGTGACAACTCTATCAACGTCGCACATAATCCTTAGAAGGCAGTAAAAGCGCGCATTCACCGGCTGTTGGTAAAAAGCCGCTCTGGCTGGCTGAAGCTGGAACATTTATCAGAGGATCACGAGATACGCGAGACCACACTTGAAATGTTAATTGTGAGATTAGCCACGTCTTAAGTATGAAAGTTCTAGACCTATTTACTTAACTTATCTTGAGTTTCCTTAGGCTAAAGTACGGAGATACATTATAGGTACTTTAGAATTTTAGATGATAGTTGTTTGATAGAAGGTTACACCAGTAAATACCTAGTGGAAGATAACGAATGATAGTTTTCAACCAAAAATAATCCTTATGGAATAGTAAACATTATTGTAACGAGTACAATAAGCACATAAATGTGTTTATGCCTGATTTCTTGTCAAACCATCTGCCTTTTAAGCCTTCATCAGACATTGTCGATGACCTGTAGGTACTTTGTCGCTTTATTTCAGTTC